GTGTGTGAGTGTGTGTGAGTGAGTGTGTGTGTGTGTGTATAACACTGACGTTAACAACTCCAGCACAGATCCTGACGATCAGCGTCAACATGATCATCACACTCGCCTCAAAACATCATGAACTCATCAACCTAAAGTCAACATGAAATCAAACTGACGTAGTGTGATCGTTTCATCAAAATCTAATGGTCATCTGGTGCTTTAGTCTTCACCTTCATGACTACAGGCTCCACACTGCATCTCCAGTGCGGAACACATTCTGAATCACACTGAATTATTGATGCCAGCCAAGAGAGCAACTCAGAATTAGTGGTAAAGCAGTCAGACTGAAGAAGCTGAAAGAAGATCTGGGATGCTGTGTGCTTGATAAGTGTTTCTCACAGCTCAGTCTTTACCTACTTCATTAAAGGGCCGCATATGCAGATATATGCACACATGCACATTGTTATCAAATACAAATGACTGTCTCAGGAAGCATATGTGAAATGTTTATTCTCAGCTCATGCACATTTGATCTCAATAACGTGTGACGCGTTTCACCCTGCGGCGCATCGGTCTACGGCTCCTCATCGAGGTCAGCGTCAGGCTGTGATACGTCATCCATAATTGTTTTACATGCATGCACAAATACCATATCTATCTCAATTTTGTCCATTTACAATTTAATTAATGGAACAATTCAGCTAAGAATGTGAATTCTGTCATCATTCTAATGTCGCTCCAAACCCGAGTGAGTCTCTTTCTTCCGTGCAACACAAACAGAGAAAAACCTTTAATTGTTAATTTAATAGATAATGGTCATATGCAAAAGACTTGCATGAGTATTTCAACAAATTAGCATTTGAAAAATCTAAAATACCAGCATATATAAGAACATTAGATAGTTAAAGAACCATCCACATGCACGAAGGACAATACTTAACAACATTGTTTTAAAAATCTCTTTTTGAACAAATCATTTGAATCAGTGAGTCACTTGCTTCATTTGTAAATGAATCAGCTGTTTTGAATGAATCATTTGAGTGAATGGTTTAATGAATTGCTAATTGAGACAGGGACTTGCTGCCACCTACTGGCAGTTTTAGTCTCTTATTTATTTATTTATTTATTTATCCATGACAGACTTAAACCAACCAAGGTACAGCACAAAACCACACTCATCTAAATACTGTTTAATTATCATTATTGAAAAAATATTGAAATATCATTTTTGTCAATCGCACGCCCCTATGTGCGTCATAACAATATAGCAAAGGTAACTTCTTTTTACTTCTAAGCAAAAAATGAAAAATAACTTTGCTGTGAGTATATCGGAGCCTTGAATCACATTCAGTATGATATGAGCATGAGTGCGAGCGAGAACAAATAAGTTGCTTGTTGCAGTTCACATAATGACCACCGGTGTCGCTAATAAGAGTTTCTGAATTCTACATATAGAGCCTTTAAAGCAGCAGACGACAAAACTGCAGCACTTATAATAAACAGAACATATGATATGTTGATGTGGATGCTAATATACTTATCATTAGTTATCGTTTTTGGTGTGAACAGGCCTTAAATTATGCATTCTCAAACCTTTTTTCTGCAGCTGTTTTTGGACATTATGTATAAAAACAGGCCCGAGTCTACAGCTCAATGTGGATCACATATTTCCTTCAGACGCTCATGAGAAACTGACAAAACACTGATCTCAAGCTGAAGCGAACCTTATGAGCTTCTCTCGCTCCCTGGTGTGCTCTTTCATGTAAGCATCATGAGGAATAACCCTTTTTCTCGTCTAGCAGCATCAAAGCGGCCGTATGCGTGATGTAACACAAAGCATTCTCCAGCATTAACGCCGCACACTGATTATGAATGTGAGAATCTCGTGGAAGGGTGAAAGAATCAAACCAGCAGACAGACCAGATCTCGCGTCTATCCCAGAGAACCGCTGCGGATTCTGATAATGATGTGGATATTATTATCACTGTGTGATTAAACTGGCTTTATTTCAGTTAAATGACAAATCCAACATACTGTCAAAATCTCTGAGAACTAGTCCTACATCTGCCAAGCCTTCAGTCTGTTCTGACTCAGACTTTCTGTAATGGATGATCAGATATCTCTAGTCTTATCCTAAACATCTCTGACAGTAATTCCTGCTGGAGATTTCAAGAAACATCCATCAAACTCAGCAGAGACCTTCAGTCTGGTCTGACTACAGTTACTCATGTATTGAACTTTTAATGTCGATCAAAACACCACAAAACTCTACAGACGTATATGAAAGGAATAGTTCAACCAAAAATGAAAATGTGCCGAAAATGTGCTCACCCTCAGATCATCCGAGATTAGGATGAGTTTGTTTCTTCATCAGGTTTGTAGAAATGCAGCATTGCATCAGTGTCTCAGCAATGGATGCTCTGCAGTGAATGGGTGCCGTCAGAATGAGAGTCCAAACAGCTGATAAAAACATCACAATAATCCACAAGTAATCCACAGCACTCCAGTCCATCAGTTAACATCTGGAGATATCTTAGTTTCTTCTGTATTTATAGCATAAGCTACAGCATACTGCCTATTGGAACATACAGTACTCTGATGTTACCAGTAAAGGTGAACTAAAATGAAGAATAATGCATGTAAGACCATTAATAAAACGACCTAGAAACATAATTTGCACTTAAATGAGGAGGAAAACAGAAAAGAAATAAATACACTTGCACTTGAATTCTGAACTCTGTATAAATCTGCCTTTAATTGTCATTAACCCAAGCATGCAGCAAAAGCTCATGTGTTTCATGTGATACATTAGATCAGATTCACTGTTCAAACATCATGTGGTAAATGCACAGTCAAAAATACAGTGAGTCAGATGCACTGCACATGCTGTCTGTGTGATGTTGTGTTGTGATGCAGTGTGATCCTCACCATCCTCTTTGTCGTCGAACACTGGTCTCTTGGATGAACTGTTCGCTGCTCCCATCCTCTTCTTCCACTTGCCCCAGTGAAACATTGATGCTCTGCTCTCATTCCTTTCAGCGCGACGGTTCTTAGCAATGCATATTACTAATCAAAAATTAAGTTTTACAAAATATCTTCAAGGAACATAATAACCTTATGATTTTTGGCATAAAAGAAAAATCGATAATTTTGACACAATGTGTCAAACCATGCTACTTATGACTGCTTTTGTGCTCCAGGGTCACATATTTGTAGCGCAAATAGTTTTACCGTTTACTTTATTTTGACATTCTTAGGTATTATATAGTGACTATATATTATTATTATTATTATTATTATCCCAACTAGCTACCTCAAGCTATTTTGTGAATGTGCGAGGCTTACGCTTGCTATCGGTAAATAACTAGAAGAATGACAAGCTTACTGTAGAACTGCTTGCGCTACAAACCATGTGTGTTTATAATTATAATAAATTAAACAAAATCATAACAAATCCCAGTTTGTAATATCAAGCAGGCAGCGTATAACGGACTATTTTTGTACGGCTAAAATAACTGGAAGCTAATGAAACCGGAAGTCTCGCACATTCAAGTTACAAACGCGGATTATTGAGGTGGATGTTGAATATAATACAGAGCCTAGTCTATTATATAAGGGACATTAGCCTATATACAATTGACGGTTGAGGTGTGTTCTTCAAATAAATCCGAAGCCATTGTAAATCTTACAGCAAAAGGGATCAAAATAGTAAAACACCACAAACTAAAAAGCTTTATTAGGTTCTTAAATGTGTTTTTTTTTTTTTTTTGGTGGCATACATAACAACATTAGACTTAAAGTGTATTAAAAGTCCTGATCAGGTAGAAATAATTCTGTTTTCATCCTTTGTAATATAGCCTAATATTTTTGACACGAATAAAAGAATTTATATTTTGCACATTGTTACCTGAGCAAACTTTTTTATAGTGTTGAACGATCGTTTCACTTAAAGGCACAATATGTAATTTTCGCCGCTAGAGAGCGTGTATTCAAAATAAACAGAGACAAAGGCTAGTTTGATGACCACGTGACTGAGTGTGGAATCATGGGAGTTGTGGTCTTCATCCGCACAGCCGATGCAATCCGACGGGACTCGGGCAGAAATCATGTTCATGGATGAGCTAATGATTTATTAACGTAGTAGAATGAAGCAGGGTGAGGCTGAAAGCCGTCGAAGCGAAACGAGGCGCTGAACGAGCGCGACACACGGCTGGAAAGCAGCGGAGCTTTTATTATGCCACAGTCGAGCGCTTCCGCTGCTTCCGGTCGTGCGTATGTGGGGTAAAGCAGCGCTGGTTTATCAGTCGTCACCGGTCTATTAAAACACACAACATATTAAAGCGTCTTTGGTGTTTCCATGTTTTCTACAAAACAAAACCGGAAACCGAGGGGTTATGACGTCATTGGCAGGCGACACAATGACACTATAGACACGCTCCGTGTAACTAGTTAAAATTGCGTATTGCAGCATCTGTGTTAAACATGACACATCTAAAGGTGACATGAGGCCAAGTATGGTGACCCATACTTGGAATTAGTGCTCTGCATTTAACCCATCCAAAGTGCACACACACACAGCAGTGAACACACACACACGGAGCAGTGGGCAGCCATTTTTTTGCTGCGGCGCCCGGGGAGCAGTTGGGGGTTCGGTGCCTTGCTCAAGGGCACCTCAGTCGTGGTATTGAAGGTGGGAGAGACACAGACTGTACATTCACTCCCCCCACCTACAATCCCTGCCGGTACGAGACTCGAACCCGCAACCTTTGGGTTACGAGTCCAACTCTCTAACCATTAGGCCACAACTTCCCCATTAATTCCCCAGGTGCATTAATAGCACAATGTATTCTTATATTCAGTTCAACGCACATGATTCAGACTCTCATACGTTCCTCTGCATGTTCTAGAGTCTGTATCTTGAGGGCAATGAGATCTGCAGTCTTCCTCAGCGTTTCTTCAGCAGTTTGTCGTCTCTGGTCTGGTTGGATGTGAGGAACAATCGACTCACAGATCTACCAGCTGCCATCGGACAACACCGGTGAGTGAACAAGCCATGCAAAAATGAATGAAGATGCACTCATTCTTCATCAGATTTGTAGAAATGTAGCATTGCATCAGTGTCTCAGCAATGGATGCTTTGCAGTGAATGGGTGCCGTCAGAATGAGAGTCCAAACAGCTGATAAAAACATCACAATAATCCACAAGTAATCCACAGCACTCCAGTCCATCAGTTAACATCTGGAGAAGACAAAAGCTGAAACACATCCAGCATTAAGATGTTTTTAACTAAAATACCATAGAGTC